TAAAAAAGTCCTTTACTTTTTTCACTATCGTACTGCCCGACATAAAATTCTACTGCACAACATTATGCATATGTAATTCTCTATAAATTTCTACATTTACTCTAAATTCTATTCATAATGTATTTTATTTTAATAAATGTTCTCTAGGCCCGACTCAGAAACTCAATTAGTCATCTCGTTCGTTATCTTGCAGCATTTCTTCTTCTTTTTTTTTTTTATAAAATAACAACAAACAAATAAATTTACGCTTATCACATCACTCGTTCACAATTTATTCGTATACTTATATATATGGATGTACATATACGGTGTCTATAATGGACACACTTTAGAGAAATATCAACTTGGGCTTTAAAGAGGAAAGCCACCAAAAGTCTTCCGCTGTATATGTAAATAAATATAATTTTTTGGCATCTTGTCTGTTAATCATAGTTTCGTTATGAAATCTCATAAGTTTATACTAAACTTATTTTCAAGTTGTTGTCTCACTTGATCCCGGCTTGTCTGTGTTCGGGGTAAAGGAATACGCCTTCTACACTGAATATTGAAGCCTCTGAAAATATACATTATTATAAGATGCCTCAATAAAATTTAGTTATTTATTATATTTCTTACCGTCAGGCAGTTCGTGTAGTTTGGGGGGCAACGAGCTGAAATATCTGTGTTTCAGGCACTCGTCAGCCCCTATCCTGTCATCCGGATTCAATTGCAACAAACTCTCGGCCACTGATTCACCATCAGGAGAATCGTGCAGTCGAGGAAAACTTAAACCTAACCTACGAGACCTGAAAGAGTAATAAAATATAAAATGATACAAGATATATTTAAAAAAAAAAGATTTATAATATAGGTAAGTACGAGTTGAAATGACATAAATTGCAGCATTGTGGTTTTCATTTTTTGAATATTAAAAATAAATTTAAGCTCAAAGCTCGTATCTTGTATTTTACTCGTATGTCGAAGCAACAAACTGCTCCTTTAGGAAGTCGTATGTCGGATCACTCGTAAGTCGGGGTGCGATTATATTATATTTAATACTTTACTTATAATAATAAATTTTCGAGGCTTGTACGAAGGCAATCGTGATACGCCAGGCCACGTCCTGTTCTGTTGGAGTACCTAAAATCTAAATAAGAAAAATATTTTTTAGTTTAATAATATATAAATATCATATTTAAGATACTGAGTTAAAAACTTCCTTCTGTCTTCAAGAAATTAAATAGATTACTTTTTGAATGAAAAGGAGGCTTTTAATTCATAAATTTAAAAATCATAATTAAAAATTAAGATGAAAGTTAATTAAAATATAAATGAAGTCAAATAATAGCTATCTAGAAACTTATTAACAATTTTGTTAATACATACAAACATTGTTTTTATTTTTATTCATTTATATTGTACTTTAAATATCGTAAGAAGTGGATCTGATGAGCAAACTTGGAAAAAGGACTGATGACGAGCAAACGTAAAAAAAACGAGCAAAATAAAAAGATTCTGATGGCAAGCAATCTCAGAAAAAAGTCTCTACTGAAGAGCATTCTCAGAAATATGGACTCTACTGACAAGCAAACTTGGAAAAGGGACTATACCGACGAGCAAGGTTATAAAAAGGAACTCCAACTACGACCAATCTAGAAATATGGTATCTACCGACGAGAAAAACATAGAAAAATATTTTTTTACTGTCGAGCAATCTTAAAAAAACAGTGACTATTTAATAACGCAAACTTAGAAATAAGGACTCTACTAACGAACATAGCCATATAGCAGTGTGTTCGACTCACACGACAGGGATCTTTGGATCGAATCCTGTCATTGATTTATCATTGACTTAGAATTTATGAAAAAATATGTAGTTAATTTGAAATTAAATAAAATTGTATGTCTTAAGTAGAATTTGAATGAAAATTAAGAAAAATAGGAATTACAGAATTCGAGTAGCTGAATTGTATTTAGAAGTAAGAAGAAAAAAATAATAGAACTCGCGGAAATTAAAAAAAAAGGAAAAAATGAAGAAAACAAATGGAAGAAGATAGAAGTTGAATAGAATTAGAAATTTGAAATGAAAGAGCAAAAATTGAAGAAAAAATTAAAAGAAATTGAAGAAGAAAAAATTAAGAAGATTTTAGAATAGGATATATATAGAGTGAATATGAATGTAAATAAATAAAAATGCTGTAGGTGGCTAAATGAGTAATGCTCAGAATAAGTGAGGCCAAATAAAAATTGAGAAAAAAAAGAGAACCAACTAAGAAATAGGAACTTGAGCCAATTTCGAAAAAAGAACTCTACTCACACGAGCAAACTTAAAAATAAGAACCATACGAACGAGCAAACTAATAACTAACTCTACTGATGAGCAAATTGGAAAAAAGGGCTCTACTGACGAACAAACTACAAAGAGGGACTCTACTGACAAGCAAACTTAGAAAAAGAGACTCTGATGACGATACAACTTAGATAAAGAGATTCTAATGGCAAGCAATGTTAGAAAAAAAAGTCTCTACTCTAAATGGGGACTCTAATGACGAGCAAACTCAGATGTAAGGACTCTACTAACGAACAAACTAAGAAATAGAAACTTTACTGATGAGCAAACTTGGCAAAGGAGACTCTACCCATACTTAAAAATAAAAAGTATACTAACAAATGGATATATTAACTCAACTGATGAGCAAATTTGAAAAGATAGACTCTACTGACGAGCAAACTTAGAAAAGGGGACTCTACTGACGAACAAACTTTGGAAAAGAAACTCTAATGACGAGCAAACTTAGATGTGAGGACTCTATTGACGAGCAGATTTAGAAAAAAAATCAAAATTGTAAACAAGGAGTCTCCTCTCGAGCAAACTTTGAAAGCGAGACTCTACTGACGTGCAAACTTGGATATATGGACTCTACTGACAAGTAAATCTTCCTATTCCTTCAAGAAAATAAATAAATTACTTTTTGGATTAAATTGAAGGCTTTCAATTCATAAAAATAAAAATCACACTTAAACAATATACATAAAAATACATACGTAGAAGTTTTAATTACTATTTTACACTTACTTTAAATATCTTAAGGAGTTGATCTTGAGTGTCACGAACACCTGGAAAAGTAGGCAGTCCCGTCACCATTTCAACATAAATGCAACCTACGCCCCACATGTCTAAGGAGCACCCGTACTCTGTACTGCCCAATAGTACATCTAAAATAAAAATCCAAGAAAATTAGAACCATGATAAAAAATCAAACAAACTATTTTAATCATTTATTTCGATTATTATTTTTCCTCTTACCCGGTGGCCTGTACCACAACGTGACGACCTCATGGGAGTACGTGTGCGAGGGAACGCTCTTGGCCCTGGCCAGTCCGAAATCGGCCAACTTCAATTCGCCCCTCTCGCTTATTAAAAGATTCTGGGGTTTGACGTCCCTGTGGAGCACCCTCCTCCTGTGGCAGTACGACAGGCCCCTTAGTAATTGAAACAGGAAGAGGCGGACGTTCCTCGGTTCCAAACCTCCTGGATGCCTTTCCATGTATTGGGAGAGATCTGTATTCTAAAAAAAAATAGAACTAGTTGGTTTGGTATTTAGCCTTGAGGCAAGTTACATGAACTTCCCGATATGTGTAAATAATCGACTTAATCAAAAAAAAAAAATGTGTAAATAATATACTTCATCAATCCTACTCTAAAAAAACGATAATAATTTTAGCAAAGTTTGACGAATTTTTAAAATTATACTACTTGTCGCAAGGCCGTAATATTTCAGTAAGTTCTATAAGACCATGATGTATATCGCCAAAAAAAGTTCCATGAAAATCGGCTTAAATTTTTTTTTCAACAGTTAATTACAAGAAAACGGCTCGGTAGATTTTCACCTAAAATTAATCAGTACCTTTCCCAACTAATATCTTTCGAACAGTTTTTGATTTTTTAAAATCGGTTCGGTAGGATGAGCTTAAATGTGGACGAAAAGTTTAACACTTTTTTTCAAATTACAAAGAAACGGCTTGGCAGATCGTCGCACAAAACTGACAAACGATAGTCCTCATCTAAATACATCAAATGGCTTTTAAATTTCTGAAATCGGTTCAGGCGTTTTCGAGAAAACGTCGATGAAAGGTCTAATTTTGACAAATGCCAAAAAAACGATACCAATCTTTGAAAATTTTGACGAATTTTCAAAGTTAAACCAATTGTCGTAGGGTCGTAATATTTTAGTATGATTTGGAAGACTATAGTATCTACCGTCAAAAAAATAATAATAAAAGTCGTCGAAAAAAAAAATTTTAATACTTTATTACAAGAAAACGGCCCGGCCGATCTTTACCAAAAACTAATCAGCACGATTCCCAATAAATACCTTTGGAACGGTTTTTGAATTTTCATAATCGGTTCAGAATTGCGGGCTAAAACGTGCACGAAAAATTTTTCACTTTTATGCTATTTATAAAGAAACGTCTCGGCCGATCGTTCCACAAAACTGACAAACGATAGTCCTCGTCGAGATACATCGAATGGCTTTTAAATTTTTGAAATCGGCCCAGCCGTTTTCGAGAAAACGTCGATTTACGGCAAAAAATCTGTTCACGCACACACACACACACACACACACACACATACTTTTTCCAAATTTGGTCTCATTCGATTTAGAATGGCTTGAAACGTCGAGAAAACATAAAATTAGCGATTCGGATTTTTTGATGAAAACATAAACTTCTCCTTCGGGAAGTTAAAAATATATATTCATTGTGAATGAATATTCTGTATTATATTCTGAATATTTCTACTCACGACATATTCGAATACAAATGTCAATGTTTCCCTCGTGTGTACAATATCATGCAAAGTGACAATATTTGAATGTTTCAATTCTTTCAATAACGAAGCTTCTCTGATGGCTGTAAAGGGGGCACCTTCTTCCTGCTGAAGTCTAATCTCCTTCAGAGCGACCACTTGATTCGTTAAACTAAAAACAATAAATATAATAATATAAATTAATCAAACAATGGTGATAAACATGTTTTTTATCCATACTTGCTATATCCTTTGAACACTGTGGCATACGAGCCCTCTCCTAATTGTTCGAGTTTGATGTATGCTTCTGATTTTCCAAATGGTGAATCACCCTGTAATATAATTATACATTGTTATTAAATATTCTATTTCCTATTTTATCACCAATTTTTAAATATTTTTATTACCCCAAATGCACTGTATCGTTTCGACCTGGCCAACCTCCTCCTCGCATGACTTCCTTCTTCGTTACCACACGAAAGCAGTGTTGCTTCTGATCGTGGCCTCTGCTGTCTTTTGGGACCGCCTTTGCCATCTAAAAGATGATTGATACTTAATTTAAGAAACAAATCTGATGTAGTGATATTGAAAAAGATTTGCAAATTATGGAGAACAATAGAAGTAGTTAGACAAGTTTTATAAATAGTGAACTGGTTTTTAGGAAAATTATTGACATAGAAATGGTGATTTCAATCATCAGTGAATTTTCTTTACATTCAGCAATATAATTTACATAAGACAATAAACAAATCAGAGAGTCAGCCAGTAGAGTCCACATTTCTTGTCAGTAAATTTTTTTTCTCTAAGTTTACTCGTCAGCAAAGTTTCTTTTTCTAAGTTTGCTCGTCGGCAGAGCCCACCTTTCCAAATCTGCTCGTTAGTAGAGTTCTTACTTCTAAGTTTGCTCGTCATTAGAGTCCCCATTTATTATATGGCCTGACATCTAGCCATAAATGTAAAAACTTCAAAAAGTGAACTAAGCAATCTAGCCGTCTTTTGTTTGTCCGAGTCGGTAAAAAGTCAATATACCTCAAGTCTATACATTTGTATTTTCACTTATTAATGGAAAATAATATATAAAGCAACCATGTATACTTAGTTTGCCTCAATTTCTAAGAAAGCTCCTCAGTAGAGACTTTTTTTCTAAGATTGCTTGCCATTAGAATCTTTTTATCTAAGTTGTATCGTCATCATAGTTTGTTTTTCTAAGTTTGCTCATCAGTAGAGTCCTCTTTTCCAAATTTGCTCATCAGTAGAGTTAGTTTATCAGTTTGTACGCTGGTAATGTTCTTATTTTTAAGTTTGTTCCTGCGAGTAGAGTCTCTTTTTCCAAGATCGCTTATCAGTAAAGTTCCTATTTCTTAGTTTGTTCGTTAGTAGAGTCCTTATTTCTAAGTATGATCGTCATTATAGTCACTGTTTTTTAAGCTTACTCGTCAGAAACAATCCTTTTTTAAGTTTTCTCGTCGGTAGATACCATATTTCTATTTCTAGATTTGGCCGTGGTTGGAGTTTATTTTCATAACCTTGCTCGTCGGTTTTGTCCTTTTTCCAAGTTTGCTTGTCGGTGAAGTCTCTTTTTCCAAGTTTGCTTGTCAGTAGAGTCCATATTTCTAAGAATGCTTGTCAGTATAGACTTTTTGTCTAAGATTGCTTGTCATTAGAATCTCTTTTACTAAGTTTGCTCGTCTATAGAGTACCCTTTTCCAAGTTTGCCTGCCAGTAGAATCCCTTTTTCCAGGGTTTGTCATCAGTAAATTCCCTCTTTCGAAGTTCGCTCATCAGGTAATACCATTTTCTAAGTTTGCTTTTCATTTTAATCTCATTTTCTAAGTTGTCTCGTCATCAGAGTTTCTTTTTCTCAGTTTGCTTATCAGTAGAGTCCCATTTTCCAAGTTTGCTAGTCAGTAGATTCCCTCTTTCCAAGTTTGCTCATCAGGAAATATCTTTTTCTAAGTTAACTCGTCAGTAAAGTCCCTCTTTCCAAGTTTGCTCGCCATAAAATCCCTTTTTCGAAGTTTTGTTGTCATCAGTAAATTCCTTCTATCGAAGTTTGCTCACCAGGAGATATCTTTTTCTGAGTTTGCTTGTCAGTAGAGTCCTTATTTCTTAGTTTGCTCGTCAGTAGAATCCCTTTTTCTAAGGTTTGCCATCAGGAAATTTCATTTTTCCAAGGTTTGTCATCAGGAAATTCTCTTTTTCAAAGTTTGCTCGCCAGTAGAATCCATTTTTTTTCAAGTTTTATCATCAGTTAATTCTCTCGTTCAAAGTTTACACATCAGGAGATATCTTTATCTAAGTTTGCTTGTCAGTAGAGTCCTTATTTCTAAGTTTGCTCGTCAGTAGAATCCCTTTTTCCAAAGTTTGTCATCAGGAAATTCCCTTTTACCAAGGTTTGCCATCAGTAAATTCTCTTTTTCAAAGTTTGCCTGCCAGTAGAATCACTTTTCCCAAATTTTGTTATCAGTAAATTTCCTCTTTCGAAGTTTACTCATCAGGAGATATCTTTGTCTAAGTTTGCTAGTCAGTAGAGTCCTTATTTCTAAGTTTGCTCGTCAGTAGAATCCCTTTTTCTAAGGTTTGTCATCAGGAAATTTCATTTTTCCAAGGTTTGTCATCAGGAAATTCTCTTTTTCAAAGTTTGCTCGCCAGTAGAATCCCTTTTTTTAAGTTTTATCATCAGTTAATTCTCTCGTTCAAAGTTTACACATCAGGAGATATCTTTATCTAAGTTTGCTTGTCAGTAGAGTATTTATTTCTAAGTTTGCTCGTCAGTAGAATCCCTTTTTCCAAGGTTTGTCATCAGGAAATTCCCTTTTTCCAAGGTTCCATATGTTATTGTTTATTATTATTGCTAGATGTTAAATTATTTACAAGTTGTAATAAATATTGTACAGTAGAACTCCAATTATCCGAATTCCGACTATCCGAATCGCCGATTATCCAAATCACTTTCAGAAAAAAAATTGTCCAAAAAAAGTCTAAGTGCGCTATTATTCTTTGGTTGAAGACCGCAAAACAGCTTACATTGACGGAGATGTTTAAAAAACAAATATTTTTATTTCTAAACTTGTACATAAGTACATTTTATTTATATTCAAAACATGTGAAAATATCATGTTTCTTTCATTTAATTCAATAAAAAAATAGTGCAATATCAAAACGTAACTTTTTTTCTCTCCAATGGCAATTTAAAAAAAAACTCCGATTATCCGAATATTTGATTATCCGAATGGGTTCTACTGTAATTAAAAAAAATCTTTCTCCTTAATAACAACTTATCAATTATCAAACAATTATATAAATTTTACCGTCTGCACCTTTCCTGTGCCTCATGACGACCCTCTCTGTCTCCTCCCTGATGTCCTCGTCCAGCAATTTGGAATCTGATGAAACTGACAATTGCCTGGTGACCGGGCGCTGCTGCTGCTCCTGCTGGTGGTGATGGTGATGATGGTGATGGGATAGATGGTGGTTCTGTTGCTGGTGGTGAGAGCGCGAGTCGCCACTGTGCCAATCTTAAAAGACAAGAGAATAAAAATAGTTTATGAAATTATAATTGTAACTAGCAAACCCGACGAACTCCGTTTCGCCACCAGATGGTTTCGTGAGAAAGATGAAGAAATTTGTTGTTTGTTTTATATTTGAAAAGGAAAAATTCGATTTTATTATACAACTGTAATGAATTTATTTCGATTACAAAAATGAAGTGTTTTTTAGTTGAACTTCTCTAAGTAAATAAAAGTGAATCCGCAAATTATCCGTTTTATTGAAGTGCTCTTTGGTAAACCACATTTTTTGTTTTTTGGTCTGACGTTAACACAAACAAAGCGGATGGTTTTCCAACTCGTGAACAGGCAACGTATAACTGCCCATGTGAAAAACAATGATTTTATAAATAATCTATTTGAAATTTATCCCGCAAACACTAAGCGATTGGCCTTGCGACTTGTTAATTGTCATTGCGAACGCAAGGCGAACTGGAAATTGCAATCGTTTGAAGTCAAACGGAAGACCAGTCGGAATCATTGGTATGTCACCAAATCGCCAGCAATTTTTGAGTGGAATTCAGTGCGTGTACAGCATATTTCTTGGCGGCAAGAATTGCTCGTTGACTTAACCAAGCATAATTCTGATAATTCTCACTAATGTCATTACTCGAATTTTTAATTACGGTGCGTGAAGTTCCAGCAATTTGCATTAGGGCACGGAAACCTTTCCAAAGAATGCAAAATTGTCGAAATCGGTTCGTGCGTTCTGGAGTTACTTCGTCAGGAAGGAAAACCCGACTTATTTTTATATATATAGAAGATAATCTATTTGAAATTATTTAAAACAATTATTGATTATTTTCATTACTCGAATTTTTAATTACGGTGCGTAAAGTTCCAGCAATTTGAATTAGGGCACGATGCACCACTAATTTTCTTAGCTATAAACCTTGCGGAGCCCGAGACCTTTCCAACGAATGCAAAATTGTCGAAATCGGTTCGTGCGTTCTGGAGTTATTTCGTCAGGAAGGAAAACCAGACTTATTTTTATATATATAGAAGATATATATATATATTTGTTATTATTTAGTCCACTTACCGTACTTTCCGTGCGGCGGTATATTTCCATTCGGTTCCAATCGATCCAGATATCCTTCGACGCTGTTTCCTGCAAAATTCAATAATTAATTTATTAAAGTGTACAGTTAATATTCAAACGATCGATAATTTTATTAAATTAATTTCCAATTATCGTCTCGAACTTCCTAATTGACTCCGTTTGCTTGCCATTCAGGTTAATGGCGGATTAATTATTAGAGGTCGACGAGGAAGAACAAGGACGGAAATTGTGAATATAAAATGATACATGCTAATAATTGTAGAATGAATAATTAAATTGCATCATAAGGAAAAATTAATGAAGAATAAATATTAGAATTCTCTAATTCTGTACTTTTTTTAATACTAAATATGTGGGACAGTCGGGACAGTCCCGGATTTCCACCTAGTGTCCCGGGTTATTTTAAAAGCATGATTTGTACCGGATTTTGGTCTTTTGTCCCGGATTATCCCAGTTTTTCAAAAATTAACAGATGAATTAACAAAAATTATGAAAACAAACACACAAATGCTAATTTTTTCAAAATATTTATGAATAAAATTGAATAGAATGTTATACAAGGCTCAAAGGCGCGAAAAACATATATATCTATATTACATTTAATATCATAGATGAAAAAGTATGACATTTAATCGAATATTAAAGTTCTTACTAAAAGTTCGAATTTATTATAAAAAAAATTATATAAAGAGCATACCAAAAAATTGCCGACACGGTTTTGATTTAGAAAAATATAGTCACCTTATATGTGCAGTATTTTAATAATTTACATAACCAATTGAACAAATTAATTTTGAAATTATTATTATCACTGGTTATCCATATTTGTAATGAAAAATGTACTACTGATTTCTATTGGACATCACTGAGGATGGAAAAGAATAAAAGTGCAAAAGTAAAGATTTGTATAAATAGAATAATCCGAAATAAATAAATAAATAAATTATTTATAATAATATTACCTCTACTGCCATTGTATCCGTTGTGCGTTTTATTTTCACGGTTTGAATCTTCGAAATTTGCATCACAGTCTTCTTCTTTGGAGATCGCTGCGAAAAAAAAACAAAATAAAATAAATTATACTTAAATTTAAATAAATAACATTCATAAAGTTATGAAAAAAATTATATCTTCACCCATTTTATTTCTTTTTCGAGGTACAATCGTGGAGGAGTAAATTTACATAGAACCTCTTCCGCAAGTATTATATATTTATCTAGAAATAAACCTAAGGGTAAATTTATTTGCTACAGTCAGTGGCGCCCCTATGGACAGGGGTAACAAATAAAATTGAAGTAATGGCTAAGTGGCCGTATTTGCAATCAATTTATACTTTTTTTTATCTATAGTAACAATATTTTAAATGTGTTATTAACGAAAAATTGCTCACACAGCCTCTCCTGGTGAAGCACCTATTTGTGAGTGTTGTTAACGATTTGTAGATCATGTGCCTAAAAGTTGTTTATCTAGATCAGATAAAGCATAAACTAATTTCCTTAGGTGAAACATAGTTGTCATAGGTAGATATTGATGAACTACTTGATATTTTGGTTTTAATGTACTATCCGTGAAAGTATCCTAAGATAGACAACAAAATTCCTGTTGTCTCGTAGATTAAATATATGTGTCACACTAAATTGGATTGTATAATAAATGTAAATAATTTGAAAAAGCAGTCCATAGAATAGTAATTATATTCTCTTTAAGAACAAAAATACTAAATGAAATTAATATATAATATATCAAAGACCGTATATATTTGCAATTGAATGGCAACCGAGAGTCTCTATCATATCATATTAAGAAGGAACACCTGTTATTATTTTAATACTAAACGCTTATGAAATGATCTTAATAAAAAATTCTAAATAATATTTATGCCTTTTTTTGTTAAGATCAGGCAAAAGTATGGTATTATGGTACTTCTTAACTGCATGAATTTTTTTGAAGGCATCTCAAGGATTGACTATGGATTGACCTATCCATATTTAATATATATTTTTAACAGAATTTTTAATGCTGATGACTTTTAATTTCTATGACTTTATTTCTCTATTTTTAATGTCACTATTTTTGGTGTCAACTTTGAAATTTTTTGGTTCGAGGGCCAAAACTTTAACAAGTTTATAAACAAAAAGTCCCAAAGTTTGGCACAATGTTTTACTATATATACATGACCTAATACATATTTTTATTCGATTTTTTATTGCTGATGAGTTTTAATTTGGTGCAGCAATAACGGGAAAGGACTGTTTTCTCTATTTTTATATCACTATTTTTATGTAGTTGACACCAGGCTGTCAACTTTGAAATTTTTTGGTTGGAGGGCCAAAACTTTACAAAATTCATAGACAAAAAGTCCTAAAGTTCGGCACAATGTTATACTATATATACATGACCTAATACATATTTTTATTAAATTTTTTTTTATTGCTGATGACTTTTAATTTGGTTCAGCAATAACGGAGATGGACTGTTTTCTCTATTTTTCTATATCACTAGTAGTTGACATCAGACAGTCCGAGGTAGATGTCAACCTTGAAACTTTTTGGTTGGAGGGCCAAAACTCTAACAAATGTATACATAAAAAGTTTGGCACATTGTTTTACTCCTATATACGTATCTGTGTTTCGACATAGTGTTATATAATAGTTTACAATATCCGCATAATACACGAGATGTTTGTCCGAATGTGGAACATCCGATTAATCGCTTCGCCATTTATTCCATTAACAATACTATTATTAGTCTATTAGTCATTTATTCACATATGTGTGTTGTTCATCTCATCATCATCATTATTATGTAGACAGACAATATAGAGACTAATTCAATACAAAGATATGATGTGATGTGATGTCATATCGCAGAAAAGCAAGGCCGGCAGATGTATCACCCGATACAGACAAGGGTGCCCCCTTATGGTTAATTAATTTTCATAATTTATTGACACGATGGATCATTTTGATATTTTAAAACCGCTACACTGTCTCGATTTTCAGACGGGATAATGAAGGTGGGCAAAGAAGGGATTAACATTTTTGGTGAAGGCTTTGGGTCAATACACCGGTCAAATCATAATATTATACATATACATTAGGGTGGTCCTTAATATGGACATTTACAAAATTCCTTGCTCCCAAGGACTCAAATGGTTCCAAATTGATAAAAAACAATTCTCTGAAAGTTTTAGCTCTTAATATTAACTTTTAGATAGTGCGCAATTCAATCAAACTTCGTCTGGAAATAGCATGGACTAAAATTTTGAAAATTAAAAAAAATGTTTTAGGTATAACTTAGCGACAAATGAATTAAAAGTGAAAATTTGTGTCATTTTTTATTGAAAATTCGACGCTCTGCAAAATTTTAGAAATTTTTTTCATGCTATTTCCATACAAAACTTTGACTGAATTGCGCTCTATCTAAAAGACAAAATTAAGAGCTAAAACTTTGAGAGAATTGTTTTTTATCAATTTGCAACCATTTGAGCCATTGGGAGCAAGGAAATTCGAAAATGACCATATTAAGGACCGCCCTAATATACATACATTATTATAGATGGCACATATAATATTTACAAATTATTCTTAATATTGGCGATCATTATTTACTCCCAAATAAAAAAAACCTTGTAGCTGTGGACTGTATAAAATACTGATTTGTTAGTATAATTTATGTACTTGTTGCAAGTTCTTATAACACGAATAATTTGTCACTAAGTTCTAATTGAACAAGATATATTTATTGATTATTTATTACATATGTTGTTACAGGGACTTTAGTTTTATAAGTGAAAAAAATTAAATCTAATCCAAATCCGCTATCCTCTCTCTACAGGGTAGCAACAGTCCGGTGTTGCAAAAGCTCAATGCCATGAAGATTGCCGCCTTCATGACCAATACAATAAAATGTAAATCACTGCCGTTTGATGTCAGGCGCTAAGGATGAAAGTGCAAACGTGAAGATTTGTACAAATAGAAGAATGCGGTAGCAAACGTGTTAAATGTTATGCGTTTATTAAAAAATACTACTTAATGAAGATCTGAATTTGTTTTACAAATAAAATCGCGGGTCGCACATATTGCCAAATTTACATTTCAAATTAGTAAGAAACAATATAAATATACAAATATATGTATATAAATATATATGTGTGTGAGTCCTGTGTGTGTTTGTATTTCGATATGACAAACTCTTTTAAATGTAATCCAGTTGCATTGCATAACTTATAAATGTCTTTCTCAACAAGAATGCAGTTTAACCACACATTATTTTAATCTCTCAATTTTTTGCTCCATTTATATATATAAATATATATATATATATATATATATATATATACTAGCATACCCTGCCATGCTTCGCTGTGACTTTTATTAAAATCAACAAGATTGAAATTTGAATCTAATGGATAATTAACAGTCCACTTGTATT